AAATAAAAAATTATCAATTTCTTCTGGTCTTGCAAATATCCACATAATTCACCCTTCCTTTAACGTACAAAATAAGAAAATGTAGCAAAAAAAAAAAAACAATTAATAAGAAGGAAAGCGCCTAATTCTCAGTACACGCGTCACATGTAGATTTGTCACTCGGATGCTTTTTTGGCAACATCAATGTCGTCCTTTTTTTTGTTATAGAAAAACGAATTTAAAAAGCTAGAATAAAACGACATCCGTCGGATCCATCCCCTTTCAAACTCAACGTACAAGATTCATCGTAGGATTGACGAAGAACAACAACCAAGGAATAGGTGACGTCACCGTCTCCTTCCTCCAACGTCCATAAATAGCGTGATTGGCAAAGCAGAGAAGGGAGGAGTAGCTGAAAGCAGCTGAAGCAGGAGCGGAGAGCTGTGAGCTGTGAACTTGAGCTGTGAGCTGTGAATGTGAGTTGTAAATATATAGAGTTGAATTTTTTTTTTAATTTTATTAAAATAATATTTAATATAATTATTTATAATATAAACTATTACAAGATATGAACTAGCATTAAATTATTAGAAAATTTTTAAAAAAATTATTAGAAATAAAAAACATTAAAAATGTAAAACTAAAAAACATGAATAAAAAAAAAATCTATCTTCTTCCTCTCCATATTTGTTCTGCAATGTTGTTTCGAATACCCGCCATATATGCATCTCCTGTAGGAACATAACTTGTTCTTTGAGCTTCATCATCATCTTCAGAATCTGATAGTTCAAACATCTCATTTTCGGTTTGCTCATATTCTTGAAAATCTTCATCATTTCTCGATGATTTTCGTATAAAGTTATGCAACGCCATTGTTGCAACGACAATCTTACATTGTGTTTGAAGATTATAGCGCGCTGGATTTCTGATAATAGCAAACTTTCCTTTCCACACTCCGAAAGTTCGCTCAATCACAGAACGCAAAGAAGAATGACGTTTATTAAACATTTCATTCTCATTTGTAGGTTGTCCCCCTCGCCATTGATGCGGATGATATCGAGTTCGACGGTACGGAGCAAGATATCCTCTCCTATTAGGGTATCCTGAATCAGCGAGAAAATATTTTCCTTCAGGGGGAGTTGGAAAATATTCGTCATTCTGTGCACAATATGTCAATATCTTTGAATCATGTGCTCTTCCCGGTGTCCCCACATATGTATATATAAACTCCATTCTGAAGTTACATATCGCAAGCACGTTCATGGTAGGATGTTGCTTCCGTAAATTCCAATACTTTTCTTTTTTTTCAGATCCAACTCTCACTGACACATGTGTACCATCAAGAGCTCCTATGCAACCACTAAAGAAGGGATAATACCTTGTATCAGAAGAGAGGGTGGTGCTTACTTGACGAAGTTCATTTTCTCCAGGCTTTATAATATCTTGAGACATGCGAACAAGTGCATCCAAAACTTCATGAAACTTTCTATTCACTGTCTCTTGATTACGTTGATAATGTGTTGCGATTGTTCGTTGGACTTCATCATGCGCAACCGTTTCAAGAAACATTGCAACAGCCTCTTCTAGACCACATTCTCGAGATTCTCGTAGTCCATAGTCACTCCTTAACTTATCACATAATAGTCGAAAAGTTTCTTGATGCATTCGTAGAGTTTCATAGCATTCTTGATCATGACCATTTATCATTTGCATTGTATGGCGCCATCCTCGTCCTCTATCAATTCTCATTAGTACTCTATCACGGTGTGGATCCAAATCTTCACTCTCAAGCAACAACATAATTATTTTAAGAAGATTCTGGTTGTAACAAATAATTAGTTCCTACAATAAAAATAAAAACAGAGTTAATAAGAAAATCACTTTAAAAAATCATGTTAGTGACCACAAAAATAATCACGCTACCTCTACACAACATAATGCACTATCAAACAACAATGAATTTTTTTTGGTTTTGTAAAAGAAAAAGAAACTACACAAAACGTTAAAAAAGACAAGTCAATTAAGAGAATCACCTCAACACTTGGAATTTGCAAAGGAATATGTGTTTGGTCTGCCATGCTATCTTCTGCACACACAAAAAATACTTTTATAATGAATTTGAGTGCATGTTTAAATTATGTATAACAAATATATAGATTAGTTTCACCTTTGTAGTTTCAACGATTTGGTGAAGTGTTTCTCGTAAAGATCGAGGTGTTAGTATTTATAGAGATTATTTTAATCTTGTAAATAACAAAATATCTTTATTATTGTTAATGATTATAAGAAAGATATTAGGATGGATTACATAACGATCTTTAACAAAATCTTTTTGTTTGTTTCACTTTCAAAAATATTAATTTAAATCTGAATGTGAGAATATTCAAAGCATATCCAAAGATTCTTTTTGTGGAAACCAAAAAAAATAGGCACAGAAAATTATAGAACTTGAATATAAGTTCACAAATAACAACGTGATTTTGAAAAAGCTTAATCCATCTCGTCAGTCTGTTTAACTTAAAACATATGTCTATTCACTTTTTTAAAACAACATGATTTTGTAGATAATATTTTGCAAACACTATATTAAAAACTTAAACAGAATCTAAATTAAAATTTAAACAAGTGACACATAAAGTTTTAATAAATTATTCTCCATTATTAAAAAAAAGATTACATAAATTCAAAAAAAAAAATTGATCCTAGTTCAGAATTATTAAAAAACTAAAAAAATGACCATAAAATAGTCATAATTATTAGAAAACAAAATAAATCCTAAATGCTAAAAAATAATTTTAAGTTCATGCTGCCCAATCCTTTTTCCCTGTTTTTCTTGCTAGAAAGTTAATCTTCTCAGCTTCATTTGGCAGAGACATGAAAATTTGACGGCCACTTTCGTTTGAAGCAAGATAATCAATCGCATCCCAATACAACTCACTCTCATGATTGAGAGTAGTTATCTTTAAGAGTTCTTGCATACACACTGCACAACTATATGGATTTAGAGATTCAAATGTCTCTCTACCACCTTTCCAAAATTTGCCTTGGTCTTCAATAGCAGTTGTGAGACGGTCCCACTTATCTGGATTTGCTTGTTTACGAGAAGCTACAGCTTTGCCTTTACCACGTGTTGCCGATTTTCCAATCGGTCCAATTGGTTCCACCTCTTCATCTGATTCGACCACTTGTGGAAATGGGCTTGGTGGATCGCGAAGTAACTGACTTGGTCCAGCACGAGGTTGCCATCCTTCATTCACCGATACTGTGATTCGAGCATAAAGACGATCAAGTAAAGGTATATCTTTAAGAGGATGTGTTCGTAATTTGGATGCTTCTGGACAACTCTACAAAAAAAAATATAAATACTTAAATTATTAATTATATTTTAGTAATATTATGTATTTTCATTCTATATATTTAAAAATATGGAATTAATTTAATATTAAAAAACTTACTCTTATTAGTTCATTCCACCAATCTGATCCCATGTCGATTTCTCCAGCTTCATTAAATCCCAAACCAGTTGCATTTCGGGTGATGCGTTTGTAAACATCATACTGCTTTTTTAAATGATCCATGCGGTGTTTGAATATTCTCCATGGGAGATCCAAGCCAAAAAGTTTCAGGAATTCAGCTCGAACACTCTGTCTACCAATTTCATCAAGGCATGTCCCTTTCCAATGACCTTTGTCGTTTTGATCATTGCATAATTGCAATAATCCATGACTCAGTTGGGGAGTCCACACGAATTTTGGCTAAATAATAAAAGTACATGAAAACAAATTATTTATGTTACTATATACAACAAAATATACACGTCAAAACCATAGAAAATAAAGTCAAACAAGGATCTCACCTCAGCATTTGGTGTTTGCGTGGGATTTCGTGTTTGATCTGCCATGATTTCTCTACATAGAAATATATTTGACAATGATATTAGTTGTAAGTATGAAAAAAAAGAACGATCAAATATGGTAGAAGTTTTACCTTTTCTTGTTTCAGACTTTGGTGAATTGATTGTAGTTGGCGTTACTTTAGTATTTATAGGGGTTTTCAATCAAGATATTAAACATAAAATATAGGATTTTGTTAACAAAATCTTTTTAAGTTACGATAGTTTCAATTTTAAAAAATTAAATTCAATATAAATATGAGAATATTCAAAGCATATTCTAATATTTATTGTGGATTTTGACTAAACAAAAACAAAAAACAGAAAAACCACAGAAAATTTGCAAAATTTGAAAAGATATTTAATTTTCTTGTTTGTGTATAGATAATTTGGATGTTAAACTCTTCAATTCTCAGCGTGATAACGCAGTGGCGTAAACAGCGGCTCCACCTTTTTCTCACACGTGTGAGAGATAGCAAAAATAATCATGATGGGCGTTGACCTTTAGCTTTTACTCCCTAACGTCCATAGAAACGTGATAACAATCACGCATAAAGAAAGCGCCTACACTCACACACACACACACCAATACTGCTACTGTAACTGCTCTTCTAACAAGCGAAGAAAGAAAAGAAGACTACGTTACGGAATCTCTTCTTCAGCTTCAAATCGCATATGTAAGATCATCATTCCTCCGTTCGATTCGTTGATCTTATACTTGGATTGTTGGTCGCGTATATGCTCGTGTTTTCGTTTGGATTTTATAATCAGATTCTCGGTTCTGTTAACTTCTCCGAGATCGATCGATCGATAGTAGAGGTTAAGAGTAGGAGGTGAATTAGATCTGGTAACTTCATGAAATCGAGAACTGGTCTGCGTTTCTGCGATTATCTTTGATGCTTTCAGGTTGCAAGATTGTTCCCTAACATGACTTAGTATGCTTGAGTGACTCTTATCTCCATCGCTTTTGGTTTGGTGGTTTTGAAGATTTGTTTTGGATTCTGTTTTATTCTATGTTGAGATTCATTGCTTGATTTTTGAGTTTATTATATGCTTGAATGACTTACTTATGAGTTTTTGTTTTGAGTTACAGTGAGGATTCGATATGGCTGATGAAGGAACCCCCAAGAGCTATACTTCCCCTCTGAGGAACCCTAATGTTACCCTTAACGAAAGGAATTTTGCTGCCTTCACACACAGATCAGCTGCTGCTCATCCTTGGCATGACTTGGAGATTGGTACCTTCTTCAATCTTCTTATTTCATCAATTTTCCTTTCTTGTTGATTCGTACAAGTGGATGGCTAAACGTTCATTGTTTTCTTAAGAGTGTTTGTTTGTTGAATCTTGTAGGTCCGGAAGCTCCTGCTGTTTTCAACTGTGTAAGCTTTTTCTCCTTTTGCTCTGTGGAAGAATAGATCATTTTGAGAGTTAAATACGAAATTTTACTTTTATATAAATCAGGTTGTTGAAATTAGCAAAGGTGGGAAGGTGAAATACGAGCTAGACAAGAACAGTGGTCTTATAAAGGTATTGAGTTTGAAACCTGTTGTTTGTTTCTGTGGTTGTATGATGCATCTTTGCATATATGAACAAATCGTTCTTGTTATATGTTTATGCTTTAGTATAAGACTCAAAAAGAAGAAGAAAAAAATATCTGATCACTGAAAGGTCTTATTCTCTAAGGTTGATCGTGTCCTGTACTCATCCATTGTGTACCCACACAACTACGGCTTCATTCCTCGTACCATTTGCGAAGACAGTGATCCTATTGATGTCTTGGTACTCATGCAGGTGCTCTCTCTCTCTCACCTTTCATTAGCTAATTGTTTATGCAAACCTGACATAAAGAAACAAACTTGAGGCAACTGATAATTATTGTGTAGGAGCCGGTACTAACTGGATCGTTCCTCCGTGCCCGTGCTATTGGGTTAATGCCCATGATTGATCAAGTAACAATCACTAAAACCCAAAATTTATTCTTCTACTTATATGTGTTGTATTACAATAGTAAGAAACCATGGAATAATAACCTTGCAGGGTGAAAAAGACGACAAGATCATTGCAGTATGTGCAGATGACCCTGAGTTCCGTCATTACAGAGACATCAAAGAGCTTCCACCCCACCGTCTAGCTGAAATCCGCCGCTTCTTCGAGGATTGTATCCACAATATAAAATCATATTCTGTTTTTTTTTTTGTGTTATGCTTTGTTTTAAGTTTTCACTTAACAGAAAAACTTTTAGACAAGAAGAACGAGAACAAGAAAGTGGACGTTGAAGGTTTCCTCCCAGCTCAAGCTGCCGTAGACGCGATTAAGGACTCCATGTAAGTTTGTTTTCTTCAAAGTATCTCATACGTTTGCGCTCTTACCTTAGTCATTCGCAACAAACAATGTACTGTTTTGATAAAAACGCAGGGATCTATACGCAGCTTACATCAAAGCTGGCCTGCAGCGTTAACGAAACAACCTACATGCTCGTTATAACTTGGTGCATTTTCGCAATGTACATCGAAAAACTTTTGTCGCATTATACACTTTCCAATGATGACGACAAAAAATGCCAGTTTCAGTCATTAAAATTTGGAGATACATATATCAGCTCTTGTCCCACTTTTATATTAGTGATGTTTGCAAACTTTTCTTCACTGAATAACATCATCTCCTAATCGAGTACATTTAACTTCTCTAGATTTCCGCAAGAATTATTCGTAATGTGAAATATGATGATGATTTCAGACTTTAATGTAATATGAATGCCCACTTACACTACAAACATGAGCTGTCTCAATTTTTTTAATCTAAATCAGAACTGTCTTCTTAAACATAAACATCTATATCACTACTAAAAGGAGAATACCAAGCTCCCTTAGAGTGTTCACGTGTCTGATATATTCAGCCAATGGGAAGCTGAGCTTTTGGCACGTCAGATGGACATTTCTGAGGTAATTGGGCTTTGACGTTTATGGGCTTCATGATCACACTGGGAGGCCCATTAATTTAACCCATCGGCTGAAAAGAATTGTCTTTCTCTTCGTCTTCTTCTTGCCCTTCCTTCACATCTTCTGCGTTTCATCCATTCACAGATCCCTCCCCACTCCTTCCTTACAATCAATTCCCTCCCCACTCCTTCCTTCTCTTTAATCTCCTTAATGGAGACGATTCATTATCTCCCTCTGATGTCCTATAAAATTCTCTTCTTTGTTGTCACGATTTTGATCAAAAGTTATTTTATCATCTCCACTGATTATTCCGATGAAGATTTCCGGTGCTCCCGATTCAGTGAAACCCACCGGCAAAGCTGCTGCCTCATCAATTCCGGTAACTCCGGCGCTCCGAACGGTGTCTCCTCCGGCGATGTCGGATTGATGAAATCGAACCTCCCTGCGGCTGATTCCTCCACTCCGGTTAAACCAAGCAGGAAACTCGGTGCTTCTCCCGGCCTCAAGATCGGCGTCAGTGGCAAACCCCTACTTTCCTCACGTGCCAAAGGCAAAGCTATCATCTCCGACGACGTGGAGGAGGTCATTGCATTCAAGAACTTGACACTGGGTCCTCAGGAGGTCACTGTTACGATTCAGGCTGATCCACTTCTGGGAAGCGTGGAATTCGTTGACGAAGGTTCTTATTGGCCTCGAATTGCTTCTCATCGATGAAGAGGTATAAACCGATATTAGTTTATAAAAATTTAAGTTTTATGTTAGCAACAAACTGGTTTGATTTGTGTAGTTAGTGAACGTATCAATTAGAAGTGAAAAATAATAAGATATATTCTATAGAAGTATAAAACTACAATAATAATCAGGTTGGCCAAAAAAAGACTACAGAACTAAAGATAGAAAGTGAACAAAGAAGTAAGAAGAAGACAGATACGTAGATCAGTCTATATCTGCTGTCTTTTTGCTCCATTAGGATGTTATAATTTTTGTTCACATATGTTGCGTTTGATCATTGTATCACGTTGATTGTTTGATTCGTTTTTCTAAATTAGAAAGATAATGAACTAAATTCTAAATATACGCTGTATTGAATTGTATTACATTAGCTTCTGGATCCTTTTCCTTGACATTCACTGTCATAAGAACAAACCCACAGCAGAGAGGAATACAAAGTAAAACACGTTTAAGCACCTACTAAGATTTTGCAAGTTCCGTCCAACCACGTCCCCTTCGTTTAGTAGGTGTAATATTTATGTCTTATATCATTTTAACTCAGTTTTTTCGTGTCTCTTGCCGCTTTATCCAAATGAGTTGTGGATTCTAACATTCTTTTTACCTTTTTCAGGAAGATTGCTATTACAGCTGACTTGGCAAGCCAACTTCAACTTAATCCATGGTTTCTGAAGGTAAACATGTCTTTATCTAACTGTTTGTGAGTATCTAATAATCAAATCTAAAAAGAAAGCTGTGTAACAATATAACCCTTTAGGTCGATAAGTTATAATACTATAATACCTATCTAAAACAACCAAACAATTTTACAAAAGTTATACAACAAATAAGAAAAATAAACCATCTGGAAAAATAGTATTTATAGGAGATTATTATATAATATAAATATGAAATTATTGAAATAAGCAAATATAAGCATAATTTATTCAATCCAAATCAAGGCAGCCCCTTAAGTTGTCTAAATATATTTATTTCATTAAAGAAACTATATCTACTTCATTTGTTTTGAAATTCAAACAAAAATCCAGGAATAAACATCAACTGAATATTATTAGAATTTTATACCTAACTTTTTAATTATCCACCTACATACCTAAATTAATTATTTGTTCATTTTATACACTTACTTTTAAAACTATTTTCATTTAGTACCCACATTACTTATAAGTTCGAATAAATTTTTTTAAAAACTCCCAAATTAATCACGATAAATCTTAAAATCAAGAGTCCATAACTTATCAAACAATACAGAAAAAAAAAAACTCTGGCAACCAATTAAAGCTCTAAACTTTACGTTAACTATTTGCTAAATTTATCAAAGCATATTTGATTTTATTTTACAAATATTTAAATACGCCCAACAATTATTAAGCGGTAAATATTGACAGAATAGAACTTAAATATCAAGATCCAATATTCTTAATTCTTTTTCCCATTACATTACTAAAACAAAAATTAAAAAACAAAACGCGAGACATCTTATTCAAAAAAGTAAATAAAGCAAACAAATAATCTTTAATAAACCATATCCATGATGTGAAAGGTGTTTAATATGTTTTACGAACATTTGGTTTACAAATAAAAACCCAAATAAAAAATTAATAGTCAAACAATAACTCCCCAAATTTACGAAAATTAATAAAACAACCACTTCCCGATGTATCCAGCAAGTACAGTTGCTCAAGAAATTTAAAATATAACTAACATAATATTATATGTTCGTTAAGATAAATAAATAAAAATATGATACCTAAATAGTTATAAATATACGAACTTTTGCCACAAACTACGACTGCGGAAAAATAACATATTTATACAAATTAACTATGAAAACCAAAATTTTATAAGCACGGCAAGTAGAAATTTTTACGTAAAAAATAACCTGGGCGTAGCCCGGAGAAAGAATCTAGTAAACTTAAATTCAAAATTTGTTTTCCAAATTGTTTAATCTTCCTGAAGTTAAGAAGACCTTCATGAATTTGCTATTTAAATTTATAAAGATATCATACATATTTAAATTTGTATGTCAAAATTTATAAAGACATAGGCTTTCTAATGTGACGATGAAAAAATGCCAGTTTCGATAAACTAAAAATTTGGAGATACATATATTAGCTCTTGTCCCATTTTTTATATTAGTGATGTTTGCAAACTCTTCTTTGTCGTCTTGTAGTTCACACTTCACAGAATGACACTTAATCAAGTACATTAAACTTCTCTAGATTTTCCGCAAAAATTCATAATGTGAATGCCCACTTACACTACAAACATGATCTCTCTCAAATCTTTTTTTTAATCTAATCAGAACTGTCTTTTTAAACTTAAATTTAGATTCAAAATTTGTTTTCCAAACTAATTAATACTACTTAAGTTAAGAAGACCTTCATGAATTTAATATTTAAATTTATAAAGAAATCATATCATCTAACAATACTCAGACCCAAATATAAGTTACAATGAGATTATTGTCCACATCAAATGAAAAAATCAACCAATCATATCTATTATTGTTGCCATGTGATTTTCAAAAAATGTTTGATTATTAAATTGATCTCTTTATTTGCACCCTCAGTTTCTCTTCGTCTTCTCCCCTATGCTATAGTCAATTTCTTTTCACATTGATCTCTTCATCTCCTTCCATGCAAATTCGTCTTTTCGATTCAACATTGTTTATTTAAAAGTATATCTAAATGATTCAAACAAATACATAACTGCAAAATTTTCACATTCAACCATGGCTCAGCAAACGCGCAAAGTAGCTTCCACCTCTGGTGATGCGGAACCGCCGATTCATCACTTCCGCTATACTCTCTCCACCGTGAAGAAGTCCACTGAACTGAAACTGGAATCAGCCAAAGCCTATAGCCATCTCGGTGCTAATCGGTAAGGATTCGATCTGTCCCAGGAAACGAAGATTGGATTTGGGTCAGCAATAGCAGGTGTGTGCAAGTAACTATGCGCCTTATTGAAATATATGAAACGTATTTCATTAACCAAGTAAAATGTACATTTGGTTCTATATATATGATGAGATAAGCAAAAGGAAACTTAAACCATCGGTTTAACATTAACCGGATATAACCAACTATCCTAATACACCCCCCTCAAGCCTCTGAAGTGGATACTGCAGTAGGAGAAAAGAGGCTTGAAATGGACATATGGGATAAAATGGAATGAAAAGGACCGGCATGTAAAGGCTTCGTCAAGATGTCTGCATGTTGGTTAGCACTGGGAACATGAATCAACTTGATAAAGCCATTAGTAACCTGATCTCGGATGGTATGACAGTCGATCTCGATATGCTTCGTGCGTTCGTGAAAGACATGATTTGTAGCAATGTGGATCGCTGACTTATTATCACAGAAAAGCTTGGCAGTGTTCTGGACAGTGATCTTCATATCAGTAAGAAGTTGTTGCAACCAAATAAGTTCACAAGTGACTTGAGCCATTCCTCTGTATTCAGCTTCAGTACTGCTGCGGCTTACAGTCTGTTGTTTCTTACTCTTCCAACTGATTAGAGACGTACCAAGATAGATGCAGAAGCCTGTTACTGAACGTCTTGTATCAGAACAAGTAGCCCAGTCAGCGTCAACAAAGGCATTAAGACAAGTTTCAGAGGCAGAAGAATAGAAGAGTCCCTGTCATGAATTCGACTTCAGATATCTCAACACACGATGAGCAGCCTGCATATGAACATCAGTTGGTGCAAAGAGGTTGACTCAACCGATGAACAGCAAAGGTAATGTCAGGACGGGTGATAGTAAGGTAGAGAAGGCGTCCTATTAGCTCTCTATAAGGTTTTGCATCGGGTAAGAGATCACCAGAATCTTTGCTGAGAGGAATAGAAGGATCCATAGGCACAACACATGGTTTAGACGCTAAGAGACCAGTGTCTGCAAGAAGATCCAAAGCATATTTGCGTTAAGATAAAGCAATGCCTGTTCCATTCCGAGCAATCTCCAATCCAAGGAAGAAACATGCAGGACCAAGGTCTTTAATCTTAAAAGCACCATGAAGAACTGCTTTAACAGAGGCTACCGCATGATCATCATTACTCACAATAAGGATGTCATCAACATA